GTACCGAACTGTTTTTGTATATTCCAAAGCAGAAAAGTTTCCATGATTTTCTGTGAAAGTTCCAACCAATCATTTTCATTTGTAAAATTCGGTCGATTTCGTTAGTTTTGTTTGTCTTCAGTCTGAAGACAGCGGTATCCATGAGGTTAAATAAATCTGAAGTCTATTGTGCGAGGTGACTGAGACCTGTAACGAGAGGAGGAGCCGTCAAAACTTTGACTTGAAACTTACACTCACTATTGTCTTCGAAAATATATGTAAGCTCCACAAAAAATATTCAGAGAACATAAATCCTAGAAAGAGGAAACTACCCCGCTACTAGCTTCCTGGTAATGATACGGTCAAATTCCTTGTATCCCCTAGTATAAGACTAAAAGATCTAAGGATATCGTCTAGTTTGGGACATGAGGATGAGTGTTGGCACATTTTGAAGTTCGAAAAGCAGAAAATACTTTATAAAAAGCAGAAAACAAACAAAAGGTTTATCATTGAAAAGTAGAAAACGGGCGGTATATAATGAATGAAGGTCTCAGTATTTTGTTAACATCTTAATCATTATCTTATCGCTTACGCTTTATTTTTTAATCAAAAGACTCATCTTCTGACTCTGCACCAATTGTCATATTTCGCTGTCAAGATGCTCATGTTGTTCTCTTTCAACATTATCATAACTTAAAACAAGCATCACACACAATTTTCAAATCGTCAGTTTTTCTTATTTTTTGCCAATAAAATATCCAGTCTTTGGATTGATCTTATTATCATTGACTGTGATATATTCTTTATGAAGTAACGAAATGAATTGCCTTTGGCACGTTGGTTGAAATAAACTTACCTATCTCTGAAGAAGAGAACATATTACACCCAAAGTAACATGATTAAATGAAGCACTAAATATTTTCGAAAAGCGTCAGAAAAAATGAGCACTTTGAAATTCATATGTAATACTTGTTTTAAATCATGGTGATACTGAAAGAGAAAGAGATAAGTATTTTTTACAGCAAAATATGACAATTTGTACAGAATCGAGCGATGAATCTTTTCATAATAAACTGAGGCTTTAGAGATAAGATAACGCTTAAAATATTAAAAAAATACTCGCAACCTCTTTTATTACCAACCACCCATTAGTTTTAATTTTTGTTTCAGTATACTAGGGTGCGGGTATGGTTGTAGGGTGTGGGTCCTTTTATCAAACATACTCACATCCACACGCACACACATCTACACACATCTACACCCACACCCATGGGTAGGTTCGGAATACCAATGATTAGTCATTTGGCATGTTTTCTTCGCTTTCTGTTATAGTTTGCTTCTCTCAAAACAAGTGCCTCACGGTTCTCAAAAGCATAGTCATATAAATAAAAATGGTGACTTAACCCATGGCGTAAATTTCTACGAAAAAAGAGGCGTTCTCAAAACGCATTTTTTCATAGTTGCGAAACGCGTTAATGCTGACCGGTTTAACGCGTTTCACATCTGCTAAAACAAACGCTATGGAACGATCTTTTTTCTAAGAAATTTCGTAGCGTTTCTCAAGCTGTAGTGTCGTATATTCTGGATGAAAAAAAATGATAACCGTCAAGCATTTCATTGAACTTGAGTTGCAGATACAATTTATTTACTCGTTTATTTTTTTCATAGACCTTTAGAACTATAACTTACATGAATTACAATAAAGTCAAGACATGGATTTGAACACGAGAACATAAGAGTAGAAGACATGCGTACATGCCATCCAACGAAAATAATCTGTAATGATATCAGTGTTTATTCTAGTGTCATCCAAAGTCTTGCATAAACTTACTAAATTCGATTTCCAGTTCCCAATTCCAATGAATTAAAAATCATCATTTCCTTGGTACCTATATCCAATTACGAATGTGATCTCCTCTTGATATAGTTTTTTATTTAAACTTTTTCAAACTTAAATTTAAATACCAATTTGAAACGAATTCAATTGATTTAAAGTGTATTTAGAAAATTTAAAAATTCATCTTTTTAATTATTTTCTTGACTTAATATATTTTTCTAAATTTAAATTCGTCATCCTTTTACCTAGTGATATCACTAAATAAAAAGAAATTTTCTTCTGTAAGTGGAATCTGTTTTATTAAAAAGTCATGCTTACATCAATAGTGCACGAACTAGAATCATATTTAGTAGTATTGACTACAGTTTCATCGGTCACTATCAAGTAGTTCAAATATGAATTCATACTAATAATTATTCAATTTATAAATAACTTAAGAATTCTGTTGTTCAGAAATAACCAAACAAAGTTGCCGTATTCACTGCATTAGCATCAGTCTCTACTAAATCTTTTCGAATCGTTCAATATTTAAAGCAATGCTTGGTTGAACGTTACGAAACGCATTTTCTTTCAATAAAAACGTAGTGAAATGAGTTTTCACGGGAGAAGAACATATTTTTGTTACACTACAATGTTCAATATTAGTATGACTTCGAATCAGGTCTAGATAGCTACCTAGTAACCTAAAGTTTTAGAAGAGTTCGATTTTAATCTTGGCTTTAGAAGATGTGGACCATGATTTACATGTGCAAAAACAGTGCAAGAAGCAAAATTTTCAAATGATATTTCATATCATTGTTAAAATAATATCAGACACTTTACTTTACTTAACTCGCATGCTTTGTGTCGATGAATTTCTGCGAAATTCCGTATGCAGAACGGATGCATTTTGTATCATTCCAAGGAAAAACAATGCAAAAGGAGCTTGAAAAAGAAACACGTTTCAAACTTTCTCCAATTTGTACCTCTGAAATGCGCCGTCTATTGACCGACATGCGTTCGACAGCATTTTACTACGGAAACGCTTCAAAACGCTATCTTGAAACGTAGCGTTTCAGATCGTTTCGAAAAAAAGACAGTGGCAAAACGCATTATATCTAAGTAAGACCGCTGCGAAACGCATGCTAAAATCTTGAAAACGCGTTACGCAATGGGTTTTCTTCAATATTTTACGCCATGGGAAGTTTATACTTTGACGAAGAGAAAAAAAAATTCAAAAAGAAAAGAAAGTTTAGGCAGCAGAGCTCATATAGCAGCAAAGTATAGAAGCAACAAATTAATTAAGTAATGGCTTACTTCTTTATTTTCTCTATAGTATAAAATGATGACTTTTTGCAAGTTTCTGAAGTATTTCTAACACTTCATAACTTTTGATAAATATTATCATGAGAGGCCACGTGCTTTCTCTATTATTCTTGTGCATCAATATCATGCAGTCCTATTCACAAAATGTACACTCAATGATGATGTTATTAATGGTCGATTCAGAATTTCAATATTTAAATCTATCTTCTCAACCGCTTGCTACCAATACGGTCACTAATATACGACAATGTCAAATGATGTGCGTAATTCAAGAACAATGTCGTACGATCAATTTTCATGAATCAACTAATCAGTGTGAATTGTTCGCCGATACACCAGGCAATGGTGGTGTGATATCAACACGATTTGGTACTAAAGCAATGGTCACCATCGACGGCACACGAATACCTGCTGGTTAGTATTTATCTACATATATATATATATATGCCTCTGTCATCAGAAATCTCTTGAGATGAATGAACTCAAATATGTTTTAACTAGTCTTATTCCATCTAATCAATCGAACCATCCTTCAGACGAAGCTTTTAGGTTCTCTATGTCATGATCAGTGTAGGACTCATCAGCATGAAGTATAAAGAACATCTTTTTCATTAAAGATGTCACTTTGAACAGTTACAAATGTAACATCTATTCTAAGGCATATAACGAAAAAAAATAAAGACAAATTTGTCTCCATCAATTATAACTTCAACAATAGCGATTCAAAAATTGTTTTTTGAATGTTCTTTGATCATCAACGAAAGTCAGACACATAATTCAATCGAGACATTTTACATCAAGATATTTTCTTGAGAAAAGAAATACAAATTATTATTTCTAAATAACAGCTTAAATGATTGACTTCAATTAAACGATACTCGAACTCTAGACGTTAACGACGCTCAGTATGTTTATTGAAAGTAATAATGTAAAGTATTCGACAGTAGTAACAGCTCGAATATTAGACTTGAGAAAATCTAATAAATTATGATCTTCAAATCGGTAGTCTAACTAAACTTGCACTTTTGAATAAACGTCAGTTAAACTGAGTATTAAAAAAAATATGCAGCTCTTTTTTATCTTACAGCAGATGTTTGCATTATTAACATAATTTTAAAACTTTTCTTTTCTGCGTCACCTCTCTATAAGCATACGTAAAAAAGAATTTCAATTACGTAAAGTTTCCCATAAGTGTGTTCATTCCAGTCATTTTCATAAATGAAGCGAGAAATACTTTTTTTTTTACTAATGACTTTCTGAAATAGCAACCATTAGTAAATAAAGATATATTTATCTCTTGAAAAATATATCATGATGAAACTTGCATAGCTCTAGATATGAATATTGCTTTTTGAAACATTTAAAATTCTGACTAAAACTTCTACAATCAGTTTTGCTTCTACAGTTTTCGACGAAAAATAGTCATGTTCTGAGTTCGGAAACAGATCAAGAATCATCGATTCGGCTATTCGCTAAGTCCAAAAATAGAACATCAATGATTGAGCAATCAAATTTATAGCTAGTTAAAAAATATTTTATATTGGAGAGTCTTCTTTTTCTTGATTTCTAATTCATGTGATTAGAACCGAAAAAGACCAGCGGTAATTTCATCTTTTGCCGGTAGAATCAAGGTGAGAACCTATCAATCTGCTGTCTTATGAATCTGAGAATGAATTTATATTATCGTATACAAAAAATTAATTTTATTGAACTTTATCATTAGAAAATTATTTTTTCTGTTTTAATTCCAGTATTACAGTTGGTCGTGAGTGAAATGTAGCTCTTACTAAATTGTCTCTTCCAAGAAACAGCTACATTTCACTCACGACCAACTGTAATACTGGAATTAAAATAGAAAAAATAATTTTCTAATGATAAAGTTTAATAAAGTTAATTTTTTGTATACGATAATATAAATTCATTCTCAGATTCATAAGACAATGGATCACATATTTGATAATAAGCAGTTCTGTTTGTTGCCAAATTTTCCTGACTAAATAATGCTCAAAAGAATCTAAATAAAAAAATAAAAAAGTTCTTAAAAAATGCATACTTTATTTTGAATTTTGGAAAATTGCTCTAAATAAAAGTAGAAAAATAATAAAATAATAATATTTTGCACGAATACGTACTTTCTATTTTGGTACTGAGTTCGTCGAAAATGAAAAACTAATATCGTAATAATAATTCATACGATAAATACTTACTGTTTATGGCAATGTTCACAATCATCTAAATTAAAAAGAACGTTATCATATACATATACATAAAAAGAGAGAGATAATTTTACCGTCAATATACAGCAGTAATCAATAAAACCGTCGGTATGCCGCGGCACTTGAAGCAACCGACGGTATACCAACGTTAGTGCAAGTAAATGTGCGACATGGAAAATGATCAATCTACTTTATGAGAAAATGATAGAATGCAAAGCACTCAACAATATGAGGATTCTCCTCCAAGGGGTAAAAAACTGATTCTATGTGACAGAATCAATGAAATCAGGTAGAATCGAACGAATCACTAGAAATCATACAGATTAATTTGTAATTATGTCGAATAAATGGAAACCCACGAGATCGGTCTTCATCAATATTCATATGTACCTCAACGGGTCCCAGCAAGCGAGAGTTTCTACAAATAAAACTTCTGTTTATGATTGTTGTCATGCTGAACAAGTAACTTCTCAGGTGTTTAATATATTTTAGTAGATGTAAAAAAAATAAATTCATAGTCGCATGCAACATATTGAGAAGTTAGCTGTTCAGCATGAAAGCTATCATAGACAGAAATTTTATCTGTAGAAATTCTCTTTTGTTAGGACTCTTTTATGTACATATGGACACTCATGAAGATCGATTTCGTTCATTTCCATTAATTGAACGTCACTAAAAATTAATCTATACAAATTCTAGCAATTTCATCCATTCATTCCTAGTGATTCTACTGAGGGTGGGGTGTGGGTGTGGGTGTGAGTGGGTGTAAGTGTGGGTGTGGGTGGGTGTGCTGTGTGGGTGTGACTGTAGGTGTGCGTGGGTGTCTTCTCTGCATTTGTATTCATAACCACACTCACACCCACAGCCACAGTCACACCCCACACCCCAGACCCGCACCCACCACTTACACCCACCCACACCGCACATCCACCCACATCCATACCCCACCCATACATACTAAACACAACTGGTCGTTTCGGACAGAAAGAATGGTGAATTGATTCGAGTGGGCTTAATTAACATTCAGACCATGAAAACGAGACTCATTTCAAGGTCTGCTATTCACAGATTATTTTACCATCAATTTCCTAGCTCAAGAATCTTCTAATGATGCTTGCCTTTATTCTACTCTCAACAGTGCCGTCTACTATGACCACTGCAACAACAATCCTAACAACTAGCACCACTGCAACAATAGCTACAACAACAGCCCTAACAACTAGCACTACTGCAACAACAACCATAACAACTAGCACTACTGCAACAACAACCATAACAACTAGCACTACTAGAACAACAGCCCTAACAACTAGCACTACTGCGGCAACAACTACAACAACAATCACAGGTAACATCTTTTACGGAGAAATATACTCAAATGCTTCACACGAGTTTATCTAATAATTCTCCTGTATACGGAAGCTGTATCTCCATCATATGACATTCGGCCCATCCGGTTTTTGAAAACGTTTTTCCAACATGCACAGATCTTAGCAGATGGTCACATACAATTTTCTACGCAGATTACGAATTTTCCATTTGGAGCGGAGTGTGACGTGGGACGTGTGTGTGGATGTGAAACTAAACACCTCTCAACATTCGTGCCACCTGCACGAAACATAGCACATTCACACTAAAAATGAGCATGTTACCCTGTGGCAGATAAGATTGATCGACTTATTGATACTTCGTTGGTTCAGATTTGCTTTTCCTTAATGAGCGCATCAATTCAAGATGTATAGATTTTAAATCTCTCAAGTTCGCTAGATGTTTTTGTATTTGCTGAGTTATACATGTAACATAAGGTAACAAAAGATATAGCTTCGTCGCAACAGTCTCAGAAGCACTTCAATATATTAAGGAAAGAGAAGAATTTCTTCGAACGGTGCCTATCGAAATTTTCAAAAGAACTTTCCTGCTCCACTGTTTCCAACATAGACATAATCCATGTTTTCTTCTTTGATCAGCATTTTAAACTACTGCTACTATTAGTTCACATAGTGAATTCTAGGATACTATACAGCATTAGAAATATTCATGTTTCATATCTAGAATTTTCCAAGGTGGTATTTTGGATTTTTCCCACTGTTATATTATGTTACTTATGGATTTTTCCAACTTGCTTATATGTATATATGCATGCATTTTTCTAGTTAATGGTTGGAGCTTTCACTCACTATCTTGTTCTCCATTTGTTCTTCGTTCTCTCTGGTTTTCTTCATATCCTCATTGTCATTATTGTAATTAAGATATCACAAATAGTTCGAATTTTCACTTAAGCTCACAAATCTACAGTATTGTGAAGTTTTAGACTTTTGAATCTGATATTTTCAATTCCAGTAAAATATGTCATAATTTTATGTTCAATGGTATCAAACTCTTTAAATAATTTCTGTGAAGTTTCGAAGTATTTGTGGATACGAAATTTGACTTCATCCATATTCATATCTACACCAAAGGCAACGTATACCGATGAGGATAAGGATCAAATAAAAACCCGCACACTCACACTCAAAAAAATATAAGCTAGGATTGCATAGGTAAGATTTCTTTTAGAAAAGTTTTAAAAGAATATGCTCATCGGCATGCATTAATAAGCTGCATTCCAAAAAATGTAGAGTTACTAGCATCTTCAAAAAACAATAATAACCTCCTCTACTGAGAATATATAATAATAAATCCTCCACAATGAAAACTCACTGTATGAAATTCTTTCGTACAATCTAATAAATTGTACATAAAGAAAAGATTTATTATTCTTCATTCTTTTTCATAGCATCCACATTCACATATAAATGTGCAGGTGTTTCATCATACTTGTTATGGCATGTCCTCGATATAAGTACAATTATGATGACCATTAATACAACAGCGTGCAATTTTAGTGAAACACCTGTCTACTTTACTAGCGTAGCTGGGACCGCTAAACACTTTTATTTACGAAGTTACACTGCCATATACTCTCCTACAATCAATTCTTTTACTGTCTTTGCTCGTTCCATGCTAGGTGAAGATTCATCAACTATGTTGTCTGATTCTCAAACATATAAATGGAATCTCAATTGGTTTGGTATGTATAGTTACATAGAAATATCGCATTCTATAAAGCTTTGCTAACATTGGAAATAATTACGCCAGAAAGAACTGTCAAAAATGATAATATTATCCTCTTATAGCATGACTCGATAGGACAAGTGGACAATAGGATGCAATGTTTCTCATAAAAAGAAAGACATTAAGGTAATAATAATGCATGAAAATATTTTACTCATGTGCATCGAATATAAAATCAGACGAGTTTTAGTTGCACGTGTTGAGAATGACATTCATAAAATCTTTAGCGTGCAATTTCGTATAGCAAAGTAAGCGTTAATGTAAGAAATTCTTCTCTTTCGAATTACCTAATTCTAGTATTTGTGATGCCTTTTCATCAACAACGATAAATGACCTTCCTAGATTCTTCGGATCACTGGAGTAAGTTTCAAGAAAACTTATATTTTATAGTATTGTGAAATCAGACGTAATAAATATACGATTGATGAGCTTTAGCTTGAAAAGCATATGAAACGAGTGTATCAAACTTTCTGAACTCCAGCTTCTCCTGAGCTATTATTTTTGATCTTTTCATGAATTGAGAACATCTTTCTTGCGGTACAAATAATTTCATAGATTCAAAAGGATCCTTTATTCCATTGTTTTAACCATACTTTCTTGTTTGCTTCCACCTGAATGTAGTAAAATCATAAATGTATCATTGCAACATACTAATACAGTGAAGCAACTTTGAATACACATAGTGATCCACAGTCGTATCTGTATAGTTCATGATTCCTCACAAATACGTTAACTAAATTGATGTTCAGTAATGTTAACTTAATTAGTGTGTGAAAATATTGACAAAATTAGCTCCAGAACAATAAAATGCTGAGCAAGATTTTGTTAGAGTGCGTAATTGTTATTTTTCAATAAAAAGTTTCTGTTAGCTTAAGATAAGTCGATGAGTTTTGGAAGAAATTATTTGTCATTTTGTGGTATTGATAATCATTTTACATGCTGTTTTCATATTATGAATAATGTATAAGTGACTAAGATCATGTTCACTTGAAATTGACGAAAGTACACAAACTAAGCAGCAATTATACGTCGATTTACAAGAGTAGAGAAAGTTCTTTTCCATTTATTCAAAACATTTTAACCTGAATTTTACTGATTCAATTCGGTAAGCATGCTGAATTTTATCAAGAATTTATGAAAATGAGTATTCTCAATTTGTATATCCAACTTGTAAATTCAAAAACTTTGGTATTCGATAACTTCAGCGTCCTTTATATCACAGTTATCTTCTTAGTGACAAAATATCATAACCATGTAGGAAGAGATTTAATCTAATCTACTAGCCGGACAAAACAACGATCTGCAAGAAATCATTAAGAAATATTTTAATTGTCTCAAAAACTATATATACTTAGACGCTTCAAGTATATATTCATATACTAATTTATTATCACTCTATAAAACTGAACGAAACTGTGAATAATTATTAAGACAAAATAAAAACTTTGAGGGAGACCGTCAATGTTGCTTTATATGTGATCAACGGAAACATAATAGAATTAATCATATCCTTAGTTACCACTTGCTCAGAGAAGTATTATCGCCATATTGTTACACATATTGCAATCCATACTTTGGTCATTTTAGGATCGAAATATATTAATTCAAGTAATCAGTCTGGAGCGAGTTCGTATCTTTGTCAAGATATCGGCATTTCGCCGTCGTCACTCTGGTACATGTATGACAGCTATACGATGACAATGAATGTTAATACAACAATATGTAATCTTAATAGAACTCGCATCTATTTCACCAGCATGAGTGGAGTCGATAATCATTATGTTCTGCAGAGTTATAATGCCATATACATTCCGACGATCAATTCTTTTCAAGTTTACACAAGCTCCATGGTAGGCTGGAATATATCAACGTTGCTAAGTTATGCTCAATCGAAGGCTTGGAATCTCAATTGGTTCGGTATGTTTTACTCAAATTTGATATATGATAACTTTTTTATTTTTACTGTAAATAATCATATAAAAAAGAATCAGCATAAACGATACCATCTCTTGTTTTCGAAATAGAATGTACCCCACTGGTATTTTCATAATCCAAGAACGTAACAAAATAATCACCTACATTTTTTATCATCGAAAAGACGATACCGAATGAGATTGACCCATAAATGTATTTGATTGCTATTAAACACTGAGGACTTTAGGCTCAATATCTTCTGATGTGTATGCTCTATAATATGATCAAGATGGACCATTGAATCTAAATCTTTTTCTTCTACCATTTCTGCTTTCAGCAATTCCAGAAGAGCTGTTAATAAAATCATTATATGATTCGGGTACTAGTGTGCCTAGTATGACCATCATGTGATCTGATGTACTCAGTGTTTACCTCTTCGTGTTGTGCCCTCTAATTCATTGAATAATCATGTGATGGAATAAGGGAATAAAACAACACACTAAGCGTTGGTTTTTTCCCCTTTGGCCACATTATTGTGTAAAAGCTTTATCTATTCTATCTTATTGAAGTAATTGATAATGTAGACAAAAAAACCGTCAAATAAAGTGACAAAAGAACGCTTTAGTTCTTAGCACATCTTCTTAAATAGACATCTAATTCACTTTGAGTCGTTTTAGAAATTCTGAAGACCTGTAATTCAAGATATATACTTTTCTAATTTCTCGTGAGCTGATGTATATAATATATATTTTGCGGTCAAAATTGAAATCTGATCAAATCTAGAATTCGACTTTTGACAAGAATGTATTAGGATAAAATTAGAATTCTAGTTTTGTCCGGACGAAATTGGAATTGAACCGAACGTAAGGTGATGAAGTCACACCTATTGTCACTATGCAACAATCGAAGTGGTTCAAATATAGAAAATAAATCGTGTCATTTCAGTGCAACGTCTTCAGTAGCTTTGTTTTTTAAAGGAAATACCCAAGAAAATTTACTGAAGTGGTCAATACAATTTAAAATTCAATTTTAAGCGATTTCTTCAGATACTTTGTCTGGTCTTGTTCTCTTATCGATCAAATCGATTTGAAATCTTGCCATTACTCCTAATGATATTATTGGTTTCGCAATTACATGTTGTTTTATTGGCTTTCTTCTCTGACATTGGATGTTTTGCTTCAAAAATATTTCAATAGCAAACCGTGGTATTCATGAGTATTGATTATTCAGTTCAAAACTTGTTTTATGACGATTTCTGTACGAAACTGTAGCATGCACTTCGCTAATAGCATTGTAAAAAGCTTCATAAATACAAATAGGCTTTTAAGACTTGATATAGCAACCAATTTCATTGTCAGCAATTTTCATCAAAA